CAGCCTGCACAGGGCGCTCCCTGCCCCTGCAGCTGGGACAAGCACTGGGGCGGGAGGGCAGGGAGAAAGGGACATGCACAAACAGGTGCCTACTACTGAGGTGCTGGAGAGCACCCTCAGCGCCCCTCCAGTCCTGGAAGTTCCTGTCCAAGGGAGCTGGCGATCTTACTGATCTGGTCTGATGAATATGGGGCCAACTGAGGCTCTGAGACATGCTGACACCAGTATGAATGAGCACCTGGGAAGCCCTTCTTGGCTCCTCCTGAACTCCTAGATGCTTTGGTAACATACATGTCAAGTGCGTGCCAGCTAGTGACCAGTCCATATTGAGGTTAACAGCCTGCTGCTGCTACCGGCTAATGGAGCTCTTGAGCAGTAGAGGCCTGTGCTTTGGGGCTGAAGGTCCCATCTTCAAAGCCAGTTGCCCAGCCACACTGGGAATTGGTCCATACACACCTGGAAGGACTTGATGAAGGTCCAGAGCAGGGTCCTGACTCCTTCCCCCCGGCTCAACAGCTTCACCAACCGCATCACCCGGAAAAGTCGGAAGAAGGTGATGGAGACGCGGGTATTGTCTGCAGAATCCTGCAGGCAAAGCACGCCCCTTAGCTGCTCAGTGGGAACAGAAGCCCCAGGGAGGGGAGGGAGGGAGCAGGCCCAGGAGACCTGCTGAGCTCTTCTGGGCTGCTCGGCCACAGGGAGGAGCCACTGCTGTGCAGAACTGGTGGCATTTCCCCCACTGTTCACCACTACAGCCCAGGGATCTCTCGGATCTGCAGCCCGGCTCAGGGCTCTCCTGCAGTTGGGTGTTATGTGTGTTAGAGTAAGCCCACTCGCTGGGCCGGCTCAGGGGAGCTGCATGCTGTAGTGAGGGTGGAGGAGTGCTACCAAGTCAGTACATGCCAGCGAGGATGATCCAGAAGAGAGACTCCCTCCCCCATGCTCAGCTCCACCGGCAAGGGTTACATGATGGAATCCGGTCCCTCCTGCTTCACCTGGGGCTCTGGTTGCCACCACACTGGGCCCGAGAGCCCCCTGGCTGCAGCAGGTCTACGGCAGGGGGCAAAGGGTTTGAGCTGGCTGGGCATGTTTGGTTTGGGGTCATAGAGCGGGGCCGACCAGGGTGGGGTGGGAGGAAGGGAAGGAAGGAATAGGGTAGGTTAGGGTGGGGGAGACCTTCGAAAGATGATATTGCTGCCCCAAGTCCCCGGGAGTCCCTCCCTGTCTGGAGGGAAGTGGGGATCGGAGCCCTCCCGAGGGGGAGGTGCAGCAAAGGAGGCTATCAGGAGAGAAAAGCTCTTGGCAAGAGTGGGAACTCTCTGCTCCGCGACAGGGGCCACAGACACACAACTGACAGCACGACACCCGCTCGAGTAGCCAAACGCTGCTCGGCGGGTGCATCCCTGGGCATGGGACCTGCAGTAATAACACCTCCTAGCTCTTCGCGTCAGCAGATCTCGAAGCAATTCACAGATCCCAGTCTTCGCACCCACCGGGCGGTAAGGCAGGGCTAGGTTCTGACGGGGATCTGAGGCCCAGCGTGACTTCCCCAGGGAGCCTGGGGCAGGGAATTGAACCTGGACCTTCCGTCTCCTTAGCTAGAGCCCTAACCCCATCTTTCCTGTAGCTCACACACTGCCTTCCCCACCAGGAGCCCCAGGTGTCTGCGTCAGATCAAAGGCTCCCAATAACTTTTGGAACAAGCTGAGCAAACACTCCATAATGCTGATCAGCCAGGATCACAGCTTGTGAGGAAAAGCCCCCGCCCCGCCCACGTAAGCTTTGTCTTGTCTCATTGCACCGTCTTGTTCGGTAGTGTTCGCTGGGGAGGAGCTGTGGCTGGCACACTGACTCACTGGGCGGCGTGGGGCAGAGGGGGGGAGCAGAGACCTGACCTGCCTGTATGTACAGAGGGGGTGTGCCAGGCACAGGCCATGGGCATGACATCAGATGATCATAGTACAAGATCCCACTCCCCACAGGGCAGCTGTGGCCAAATGCTCGATGTGGGGAGCCACGAGTCCTGGGTTCTAATCCCGACTCCACCAGCAACTTGCTGGGTGACCTTGGGCAAATCACTGACCCGCTCTGTGCCTCAGTTTCCCCAGCTGCCCAATGGGGATAGTGACATTTGGTCACCAGGCTTTAACACCACAGTGGTGCCAGTGCCAGAGGCAGCGGTCCAGCAAAAACAGCAGGTCATCTCCAGCCGCTCCAGGTTGCCACACTGAAACCCCAGCTGCCCCTCTTGATAGCCCAGGGGCTGGCTCGTATGGGGGGAGCTCTGCAAAGGAAAGAGTGGGTTTATCCCGAGGGGTTTAGTGAAGTGTCCTGAATTCTGCTCTCCAAAGGGCTCCTGGTCTGAAAAATCAGCCTGTTGCTATCCCTGCCCCAACTCCATCTCGGCCCCAAATCGCATCCCAGCCTCCATCTCTGGCCTCTCCTCACACTCCAGCGTGCTGCTGTCCACCCAGAGCATTATCAGCACCAGCAGCAAAAGCTCTTCCAGGTCTCTGGGCACCGCCTTCTGCTTTAAAACACCCCCACTTGTTCCAGCCGAACTGATGAAGTTTGTTTCTCTCTGTTCCCCTCCATCTGTCCACCGCCGGCTTCCTTCATAACTGCTGGCGGGAGAGTCTTCTCCTCTGCATCGCCGGCTGTCGGAAATTGCCTCCCTATGCTATTCCGCTTCACTGAGCTTTGATCGCACGTCACATCTCAGCTGGAAAAGGTGCTTCTCGCTTGCCTGCTCCTCCCTTCCTTTCTCTCTCCTTCTCTTTCCCCTTTTCTTTCTGTCTCAATTCATAAACACCGCCTGCCATCTCCCCTAGGGGTGTGTGCAGCCGCTCGAAACACCTGACTCAGTGACACACGCCAGCTCCAAAGAACTCGGCACTGCCCCGAGCCCAAAGAAAACTAGCAGCACCTGGGCAAATGCCTAATAGTCCTGGGCCCCATTGTACCAAAGAGGGGAGGGAAACTGCAGTCAGGGCCCCTGCCCACCACTAAGGATCCCCAGACTCTGGCCCCCCCGACATTCAAAGCTGGGGGCTGCCAGGGACTGTCTCAACTGATCTCGGTTGTTGGGGTGGAGCACGGGGACAGTGTCTGAGGCGGCTAGGAAAGCGGCTATGTAGAGCTTCGCTGTGGGGGGGGGGAGGTGTTAAAGGGCCCACGTGACTTAGGAGCACAGAAAAGTAAAATTAGACAAAACACCCACGCAGATGTCTAGAGACCTTTACCTGAACCAATAGCAATAAAGGATAGAAAAAGGGGTTTTTGCCCACAATTCTAACAGATACACCACAAATGCGTACATACCTGTCATCCATACGCACATACATACTAGCCTATGGGGTAAGTGTACCCTAACATTTCCGTGGGGGAAGAATGAAATTTGGGCATAAGAGGAAGGATTTCCGATTAATGCCCTATAAAAAGGAGAAGCAGCTCACCATTAGGCAGGCAATCTACCCATCCATCTGCTCCTGTCAACTCTTCATTGCCTCAACTACGTATCGATGCTACCCACCTACCACGGCTGTTAACTATTAATAGGCCGTATTTCTATTTCTTTTCAAATTGTAAGTTAAATAGGGATTTCATCTCCCTTATATTTTATTTTAGTACAGCTTAGAGTTAAATTAAAAGAGAGTAAACAGCTCTGCATTAGCTTCCTCTGCCAGAGATGTGAAAACGGAAATTGCCATAGGCGTGGTATCACATCTCCCAACACTGGGTTATCAAAACTGTGAGTATTAAATCAACTTTGCAGCTTATAATCTTATATTCATATATATATATATATATATATGAATATATCTTAAAGAACTGTGATATTTGTAACTCTGTAATTCTAACTGTTTTACCATTTGCTTACTATCGTCATTGATGTTAATAAAAAGGTCTTTATGACTATATCTGTCTCAGTGTAAACTTCCTGTCATACCCCCGAAGTTCCTTTTATAAACTCTGTGAAGCCTGATTCAGGACGAACTTTATCTTCTGATCAAACAAATTGGCAAGCCAAAACCCATCCTAATTAATATCCACAATAATAATTATTAAAATTATTAATTAAGTAAAAGTTTATTTAAATAAAATTAAATTAAGTGGATACATTAAATTAACACTACTAACACACCCCAAATCAGGCTACACTCACAGTCCGAACCTTCACCCCCTACACTCAACCCTCTGCCCCAGCCCTAAGCCCCTCATCCATGGCCCCACCCCAGAGCCCGCACTCCCAGCTGGAGCCCGCAAACCCCTACACCCCAACCCTCTGCCCCCTTCCACACTCCGAACCCCTCAACTCCACCCCCACCACATGAATTTTGTTATGTTCACCAATATGGAGGTGATGTGTCACACATCACCTCCATATTGGTGCACATAACAAACTTCATTCCGCACATGGGTGGGAAAAATTAGAGGGAACATTGCTTCTGGGACTCCTGACTTTTGTCCATCACCAGGGGATCAATTACCACCGACACCAGCACAGGTTCTGTACCACACACAGCCAAACAGGGACTGAGGGAACCCAGAACCCAAGGCAATGTCAGGCCAGGAGGGAAACTAATCTTCCGCAGAGAAAGGAAGGTTCGAGAAACGTATCCCTGCAATTGCACCAAATCACATTGTAAGTAGCTGTGCACATACAGCTGCGGGGAGAGACCTTCTACAAACTAATGTTGCGTTAGATGATACAATGAGCAGGTAGAGCGACTGTCCTGTCTGTACAACAGCCGGATGCAACCTTAGTTACATGGTTCTGTCTCTGGTTGAGTTTTGCTGTATTTCATGGACAAAGGATGGATGGATAGAAGAAAAGTGTAATATGGATGGATGGGTCGGCGTGGGATAGGGAGGGGTGGATGGATAGACAGATGGATGGAGATCACATTTCAATGTGAGGTAAGAAGATCTCCTGGAGGTTGGGTGTGTTTCGCTCCCAGACCATTGGTGTCTTTAGCTCCTACCCCCGCTCCGCTATGGGAGAGTCACCCTGTGCATTGCAGAGCAGCTCCCTGGATTCACACCATGCAGTACACGCAAACACAGCAGCCGAGTGCAGCAGAGAAACAACTAGAGGAAGAAAAATAAGGAGACCCACTGCAAGCACATGCAACTGATATTTACAATGCCATTACAGCCTCCGCTTAGGCAGTACAGTCCGCCACTGGAAGCAAGAAACGTCTGTCGAGAGAACAAGAGAGTCAGCAAGAGAAACTTTCAGAGAGGCAGGAAACAAAAGAGAGACAGAGAGAGAAAGAGAAACAGGCGGCTGGGTTCCAGAGAGAGCCAGACAGAGACACAGATCCTTGGAGGGAAGGGAAAGATGGGAAACAGAGAGAGAGAGAGAAGACAGGGTAGGGTGGCCCAAAATCTAACACACAGAACAAGGCAGATCTGAATCCGAGCCCAACCCCTAGGGCAGTTTGAAGGAAATATCAAGCTGGGTAAGACTGGAAGAGAAATGTTCTGACTTGGGAACCTAAAGATAGGCACTAGGGGAAACATCTGCAAAAGTACCAGAGCAACTTAAAGGCCTAAGCCCCCAGTGACATTCAGTGAGACATAGGCCTTGTCTACACTAGAAAGTTGTTCTGCTTGAACTGTTCCGGGGTAGTTAGAGCAATACAACCTGCCTTGGTGTGGACGCAATTATACTGGTGTAGAAGGTGCTTTATACAGGGATAGCTATTCCCATATGGGAACAGGAATACAAGTACATAGCAGCTTTATATTGGCATTGTTATAGCTACATATTGGTCAAAAATTCATGCCTGTAGCCAACATACACAACAGTTACATTTTCAAGTGCAGAGCAGGTCTTACGCTCCCAGGTGTCTGAGCCACTTTTGAAAATGAGACTTCAGCTCCTAAGTCACTTCAGGTTCATCTTCACTATCAAGTTAATGCAGGCTCTTTCTCGGGTGTTGCCCCGACCCCGGCTCGCGTCCACACACAAAACCCTCTCACCCAAGTGTGCTGAATTCGTTAATTCCTATTCCTAGAGTATCCACATTCGATCTGCAAAAATAGTCCGCGGATAGAAAGCAATTCTCCCCTATGCCCGGAATACAGCTACAAGCACCACTTACAGCGTCACACCAGGCCTAAGTGGTGTCTAGCCCTCGTGCTGGCCCTGTGTGCAGGAGTGAATTTCACTTGTAAGGCCTCACCCACCGTGCAGTGATGTCAACGAGTGTATTGACTTAGTGGGCTTTGGATCACAGTCACAGGGCATGATCCAGCAACGGTGCTTAACTTTAAGTCCCATTGGGACCGCTTGCATGTGCTTAAATGTTTTGCTGGATCGGGACCTGAGTGACTCAGGAAAAGGCTTCAAATAGCAAGGCATTCTCCTCCCCATCTTGCACGAGTCAGTGAACAGCCATACACAGAAACACGAGAGAGAAAGGAAGCAGAGAGCAGGCAAGAGAGTATAGACATAGCAAACCAGCGTTAACATTTTTCTGGGAGAAAACAACTGCCAGGGATGGCTTTGTTACTGGTGACCCCGTCCCAGTGGCGCTGCTGGGACCCAGTTGGCAGAGTTTCGTGAGGGTGCTGTCTCCCTAAACCACAGTGCTCCCGGGGTCTCTGCGCTTGGGCAGGAAGCAGCATTCCAGAGGCAGTGCTAGCCCATTGGGCTAAGCAGGAACATTTTGAGGGGCCCCCACACAGCACATACTGAAAAAGCCAGTAGGGAGCCCCCATCAGCTGCTCGGGGCCCTAAGCAATCGCTCAGTCTCCAGAGCAGACAAGGCTACAGACTCCAGGTGAGACAGGTGCAAACACATAGCCTGATGGGCAATGACCACTTGCAATGACCCAGAAACCCCAGCTGCCAACGGTGGGCAGAGAGGAGTACTTACTGGGTGGGGTTGATGCTCTCCAGCTACATGCCCAGCTTCACTAAGCATAGTTCCCCCTAACCAAAACCTCCAGCACGGTCCCTAGAACTCTGGGTCCCTTAGCTCCTGGTGGCCAGACAGGATCTCCCCTTACCCCTGGAGCTTTGACAGTGGCCATGAGGGGGGCTGTCAAAGTGCGTGCCTGGGAGCGATGTCAAGGGGGAAATGAGGGGTGAGGGGATCGCGGGATGGCCGAGTGAACCCTCTGGAACGAGACCAAAAAACCATCCCCGAGGTCTCTTGTTGGAGGAGGGGATGTGGGGTGATTTGGGCAGCGTGCCCAACCCATTAGTGTTTCTCGATACCCACTGAATGTCAAGCTCTTTCCAGAGGGAAGCCAGAGCTCCAGTGGATCCCTTCCCAAGCAACAAAGGGATCTGGAGCCCAGGTGCCCTCGTGTCTGAGAACTGCTGGGAAGGACACAGCAGCCCAGAATGTGTTTCAAGGCCCCCCGGGCAGACAGAGAGCACTCCGTGGTCACAGAGCCGCTCTATGCCAGCTCGGTGCTTGGGGAAAGGGGCTGGTACCTGCTGCTCTGCCTGGAACTCCTGACAGCAGCTGGCAACTGCCCAAATGAGCAGGCAATTTGTGGACCTCTGCAAGCTCCCTAAGGGGTTTGTCCTTCGTGCTGGCTGGGAATGGTGAAAAAGTGGAGGGGCTGACACAGTGCCGGTCACTAAAGGCGGGGTGGTAGTCCTGCTTAGGAGGGCTTTTGGTTGCTGTTAGCTGGTGGTGACATGGGAATGGAGCCAATGACCCAATACCCCGGTGGGGGGCGGCTCTGAGGAGTCCTGCTCTCTGGAGTTCGGCAGCTCGCTCAGCCAGTGCAGTCGCCTCAGGAGAACGGAGCCAGCCAGAGGGCTCCTCTGGGCTGTAGGGAGGGCAATCCACCATGCAGGACTGGTGTGCATTGGGGCTGGGAAGCTGTGCCCGAGAACAGGAGAGGATGACATTTCATCTCCTCCGGGACAGATCTCCTTGCCGATGGTTTGCTCTCAGATGCTACCCAGCTACTCTGGGACAGCACAGACAGCGGGGACACTCTGCAGTGACAACTGGATGGGCTTTTTTATTAGCGAGGACGTGCGAACTCCACTGGAGTGCTCACTTCGGAAGCTACTTCTCCGACTACAGCTGGGTCGATTGTACGCACCGCACACCTGATGTGTGTATGGAGCCGGTTTCCGTGCCACGTGCTAGCAACGAGGTACACAGCTCCCAGCAATGCGCCGTGCACGCCTCTCTGACAATGCTCCTGTATGCAGGCTGCTCGGTACATACACACTGCAGCGTACACATGTGGTATCATGTAGACGGTATATACCGAATATACTCCGGTGTATATTGGATATACAGGCACACATATACAGAGTAGGCACCGGGTATATGTGGCAATCGTCATACACACTGACACACTCCAAGCACACGCAGCAGATTGAAACGGTGCCTGACCCTCACGGAGCGCAGGGCAGAAACTTCTTATAGGGATCATGAGGCAAGGTGAACCCTTTCAGCCATCTCTATGGTGATCTCAGGCCAATGAGCTGATTACTAGCCATCTGGACATGTGTTTAAAGAACACGGGCAGGGCATGGCATGGGTGCAGCCTCTGGGGAGTACTGGCATATGTCACTGCGGAGTCAGCTTGAGGTTCTGGTTCTGTCCCAGGACAAGGGCAGTTTCCACAGGGTACCTCTCCAGGCAGATTCAGGAGGAGGGGTGGGGTGACGGTCACTGAGGCTGGGAGGGTCCACCATGGCTGTGTAACGGCTGAGGAGAGATCCCGTCAGCGCTCTTAAACAGCGAGGAGAAGGTTAACCCGTGTGCCCACGCCCCTGCCCCATTCTCCTTCTGCCTGGCCCAGGTTGCTCCGCCAGCCGGACCAGTGTCCCGCGCAGTCCTGCAGGAACCCGGGCCTCCCATGTGACAGTGGGACGCTGGCAGCCTGCCAAGGCTGTCATTGCCATGACATTACTGTCCTGCCCGTGCTCTCGGACACGTTCCCTCCGCCCACCGCGGCACTTACATCGATCTCGCTCAGGATGACGTCGATGATGCTACCGATGACGATGAGGAAATCAAAGACGTTCCAGGGGTCGCTGAAATAGCCCTGAGAGTGGAGAGAGTAATGAGGTGGGAATGACTGGGGGGGCCGAACAGGGGGAAAGGAAAGGAAGAAGCTGAGGGTCAGACGGGGGGGTTATAAACTCCCTGCAGAGGAGACCTGCCATTGCTGAGCGCAGTGCGCTTTCTCCCTTGCAAACCGCTGCCCTGCTCACCGCGCCAGAGGGAGGGTCTCCGTTCGCCCACGCAGAACAATGCCAGCACGGCCAGGCTGCCCCCCATGCCCCGAGATGGAGAGAGCACTGCAGAGCTTGGATTTAGATTTCCTTCCATGTCTACTCTTATCCGCTGGCACCCAGCACCCACTGAGCTCTTGGGGTCAGACCTTCCCAGCTGATTGGTGCCAATGCTTATTCTGGGCGAGTCCTCGGCACGCCAGGGAACAAACGCTCCTAGCCCCCAACAGGCCCAGCAACAGTGTGATTGTCCATCAAGGGAGCTCGAGTCAGGGCTGGGATGGTGGGGAAGACACAGCTCACGAGTACAGGGGAGGTGTGTGGCCAAGGAGCTGCACTGGGAAACATTCCCTGCAGTTCACCTGCCCCGGCCCACATCACTGTGTATGGGTCGCAAGCAGCGGCTCTTGTGGCATGCCCCACGCTGGCTGCCTGGGTCTACAGGCGTATAGGGAAGGCAGGGGACGGGGACCACGGAGATGATGGCCGTCTCTCAATGGGCATCGGGGACATGCCTGCAGGGTTGGGCGGGGGGCTCTGCCTCGCCTCTCACGTGGCTCAGTGGCTGTGGTGGGGGGAGGTTCAGGGGCTCTCCCAGGGCCTCTCACACGCAAGCCTGGTTTGATGGGGGGTCCGGAGAGCTCCAGGGAGGACCACTAGCCTCCCACCCCCATTGGAGAGACACCCAGGACAGTGAGAGCAGCAGAGTGGGGGTGGGGGTGTTGGGCGAACAGGTAGCTGGAGGAAGGGCTCCCCCTTGTGGCCTGGATTGGCCCTGCTCTTCCCCTCAGGAGCTGCCAGGTCAGCCTGCAGCCCTTGCCCAGGTGACTTCAGTAGCACTGTCCACATGAGTGACTGGGCGTGAGCAGGTCTCTTCGGGGCCCCAGGCTCTGAGGGGATTGTGTTCCCAGGACGCCGCATAGGGAGAAAATGCCATGCCCACTGCTTGGGGTGAGCCCCTGCCCTCCTCCAGATTCACACCCCCTGGGCCCTCCTCTGGACTCGCACCCGCCAGTCAGGAATCGGGGTCTGCAGCGGAGCCAGTCTCCAGGCAACCCAACGAGCACAGCTGGCCTGCAGCAGGATGCCTATGGATACCGCGCTTGAGGGGTGGGGAGAGCCAGTGGACAGGCTCTTAAGCCCAGCAGCGGCAGTAGCAGCAGTCCAGTGGCTACTCAAAGCATTTGTCCATGGCTGAGACAGCTCTGCCTTGTCTCAGCTCAGGTAACTCGGTTCTGACCCTGGGCTCTGACTCCTGCTCCAACCACTGGGCACGGCTGCCCACATCCTGGTCACGTTATGTACCCCCCCCCAGCACCCCTCTCCAGACTCATGCCCCCCCCAGACTTTCACCCCACACTCACCTTGGCTTTGAAGGCCATGAGCTTGAGGAACATCTCCAGGGTGAAGAGGATGGTGAAGGCCACATTCAAGTTGTCCGAGAGGTGGTTCATCTCAGCTGACTGGTTGTAGTGCTGGGGAGCCAGGAAGAGGCACAGGTTAGCCCACTGGGCTATGGGGAGCAGGTATGGGGCTGGGGTCTCAGATTCTGGGCCAGATGTGAGAGCCTGAGACCAACATACAAACCTAGAGCTCTGGCGGGGTTGGAATGTGAGCAGAAGTTGTGATGCTTTCCCCCATTCCACACACAGCTCTGCCAATAGTCCTGCCCCCTAGCCTCTCCCTGTTCCAGCCCTGGGTCCTGCCCCACAGCTCTGTAGATGTTCCTGACTCCTGATCCGCAGCCCGGGCCGTCTCCGCACTCACACACAGCTGTGCCACCGTCCCTCCCTCCTCACCTATAGCACCCGCGGCTTTTCCATAGGAGGGGCCTCCCTGGAGCAGTGATGCTGAACTGCCTGAAGTATCCCAAGCCAAGATCCAAACCCAGATATCCAGGGGCACCCGACCAGTGGCCCAGCCTGAGTCTCACTTTGATGGCTTGCTAGTCTGCTACCAAGAGCAGGGTGGTCTCGGACACCCCACCCCCAGGCCCCATGGACAGTGATCAAAGGTTGCCAGCCAACAGCGAGGTCGTTAGCTTTGCTCCCTCCTCACCTGCATGCCCAGGCAGATGGTGTTCAGCATGATCAGGAAGAACATGAGGTACTCGAAGTAGTAGGAGGTCACCACATACCAGATCTGGTACTGATAGGGGTTCTTGGGGATGTAGCGTCTCAGAGGGCGGGCTTTCAGCGCGTACTGGACACACTGGCGCTGGGGTGACAGGAGGAAAAAGGTCAAGCATTGACGCCCGTGGAGCAGAGGTGGCACCGTGGACAATTATGAAACACTCCCAGCTGTAAAAACTCCAGCTCCACTCCCTGCCCCTCTCCCCTGCAGAGCCAGGCCAGGCCCGATTTCTCAATGCGCAGGAAATCCTGTGATTTTGAACATTTTTTTCCCTGTTCTGAAAAAATAAAAATTAGAAATTCCCATGAAACAGAAGTTGTGTTTGGAGCCGATCTAAATGTTTTGCTCTGAGAAAACAGGAATGTTTCCCGCCGCCTTCGACCTTTGTCAGCTTAAATCTGTGGTTTGTTTCGAATGAAAAATCAAACCAAAACCCCCCCAAACATTCCATTCAGAAAATGGCTGAATGGCTGACACTAGCAAAACGCTTCATTGCGGGAGGGGGTTCCAAATGATATTTCATCAGAAGGGACACATTTTCAAGAGCATCAGCATTTTCCATAGGAGAATTGTGATGAAACATTTCTGCCCCTCTCTGACTCCAGGCTGCCCTGGTGCACGGTTACCAGCAATCACTTGGGCGTTCTGCTCTCAGCCCCTTTTGGCCCAGGTCACCTGGATTAACTCCCTCTGTTCTTGCACATTGGGCATGAGACTCATAACAACCCCAGGTGCTCAGGATCTGGGATCCACCCATCCATCTGTGAAGCTGGACCACAAGTCCTTAGGGCCATTTGTGATCACAGAAAAACTTGACCCGGTAACCTTTTGATTGCAGCTGCCAGAATCCCTCAAAGTCCACCCCTTGTTCCACATCTCCTTCCTGAAACCTTTCACCGAGAATCCCTTCCCACCCCATGCTACTCCTCCCCCTCTGCCAATAACTGGGCTGGGCCAAGAGGAACACATGGGCCAGCGGATTCAGGACTCCCGCCGAGTCCGGGGATGACTCCAATAGCTGAGTGATGGGGAGGGATGGGGCCCAGAAGAGCATTTGTGGGAATCCCTGGAACACGTCCATGCCCTGGACCTCCTGCAGGCTCCCCAAGAAACCCAGCCCAAGGGCTCCAGGGAGGCAACCCTAAAAGAAGCGGGGTGCTGTCAGGTATCAGACCAGCTAGGACCAGCCGCTGGCCTAGTCCCTGACTAACTTCGCTGCAAAGCAATCAGTGAGCCTATCTGCACTAACTTGGAACTGACAGAGAGGTCACAGCCCCTGACAGTTCTAAGCCCGGCCCCCACCACAGATCAGCGGCTTCTTACCGGGTACCTTGCCTGCAGCATCACTTGCCCTTGTTCCAGTCCCTGCTCCCTTCCAGCTTCAAATTTCTGGCTTCGATCCCCAGCTCTGCCCGTGGCTTACCACGCCTTCAGCTCTGGCATTTGGCTTCTGACCCTCGGCTCATTCCTGGACTTTGCCTTCCCTGGACCCAGTTCTAACCAATTATTAGTCTGGGTGGGAAGCTGGAGCTCCTTGCACTCCCAGGCAGGAATGGGCCATATAGGGCCATATTCTAGCTTTCCTTGGGTGGGTGAGAGGGCTCAGGGGGCAGCATGAATCCTGCATGACAGTCGTGGCGGGGACTAGCACCACTGGGAATGCCAGATGTCCCTCAGGGGTGTGGCTGGGGCCCAGCTGCAAGGCCAGTGTGCAACAGTGGGAGCATTTTCTGCACCTTCTTAAAGGGAGCAGCAGGTCCCACTCCCGAGGGGGCTCCCCAGCCCACCGCCACCCCTTGTTGGCAGGCCACCGCCAGTCACTGACCTGTAGGGTGACCAGATCTCAAGAGTAAAATATCAGGACACATGGGGGGGGCACACCGGAGGCATGGGGGAGGGGAGTGCACAACTCTAGGAAGTTGCGAGGGGGGTGCATGGCCCCGGCTCCGGCCCCCTCTGCAAGCCGCGGGTCAGGGACGCACGGCCCCGACTCCGGCCCCTTCTGCAAGCCGTAAGTCGGGGACGCACGGCCTTGCTCTGGCCCCCGCCGCAAGAGGGGGTCACAGGGCTGGTGCAGGGGGTTGGGGCGCAGGAAGGGGGTTCGGGGTGCTGACTCCAGGAGAGAATTTGGGTGTGGGAGGGGGCTCAGGGCTGGGGCAGAGGTGCGGGCTCCGGGCGGCGCTTACATCAGGCAGCTCTCCAGAAGTGGCAACATCTCCCTCTGGCTTCTAGGCAGAGGGGCGGTTAGGTGGCTCTGTGCATTGCCACGCCCACAGGTGCCGCCACAGCATCGCCCATTGGCCGCGGTCCCCAGCCCATGGGAGCTGCGGAGCCGGTGCTCATGGCGGGGTAGTGCGCAGAGCCCCCCGGCCATCTCTGCACCTAGGACCCAAAGGGAGATTTTACCACTAGTCATCTGGGTAGGGAGCCTACCAGCTCTGCACCAACCAGAGGCCTGGCAGCCCTATAATATTGGGACAAATGGGGTGGGGAGTCCCCTTGGGAGTGGGACCTGCTGCTCTCTTTAAGAAGGTGCAGAAAACGCTCCCACCGTTGCACACTGGCCTCACAGCTGGGCCCGAGCCACACCGCATGAGGGACCTCCAGCATTCCCAGTGGTGCTAGTTCCCACCACGACTGTCATGCAGGATTCATGTCCATCATACATCGGTCGGGACACAGGACAGAAAGTTAAATATCGAGAAAGTCCCGATTTTATCGGAATGTCTGGTCACCCTACTGACTTGGGACAGGCCCCCACTGCAACTCAAAGGGTCGATACTGTGCTGCTCCCACATAGCCAATAGGCTAGTGTGGTGGGGCGGCTGCCCCACACAGGGAGGAAGGGTTAAAGCAGGCCAGAGGGAGCCTGCGCAGAACCCTCCCATTAGAGAGGCGAGCCAATCAGGAGGTGGCTTGTTGCAGCGGCCAATCAGGGCCAGCAGAAGCCATATATAAAGGGCTGCTCAACAGAGCAAAAGGCAGTCTCTCCCTGGTCTGCTAGGGAGAAGAGCTGGGTGCCTAGGAGCACCGTGGCTAGAGCAGTGCTGGGCAGGGTAGCAGAGCAGAAGGAGCTTCTGGCTGACCGCTGCCAGACTGAGGCTCCGGAGGAAGGGCAGACAACATGCTAGGGCTGCCCCCGACTTGCCCTGAGGGAAGTGGCCCACACAGACTGCAGTTTGCCCCTGGAGCAAGGGACTAGACTGGTGACTGCAGCAGGCCACTGAGGCGAGTGGCTGGACTATAGACTGCCAGTCCCCCCAAAAGGGGTGGGAGACAGCGGAGAGAAGAGGATGCCGGGGAGCAACGCGGGTCACAGAGTGGTGGAGACAGCAAAGCGGGAGTAACGGCGAGCGAGACACCACCGGAGGAGGCCGCCCTGTGGAAGGATTTGCGCTAATTCCAGAATGGCCAGCAGGAGGCGCCATGGTGGTGAGTCTCGCTCCGTCACAACTAGTTAGTGTAGGGTTACCATACTTCTAGGTTTCCCCAGACATGTCTGGCTTTTCGCTCTTTAAATAGCCGTCCGGGGGGGATTTCTAATAATCTAAAAATGTCCAGGATTTCCCCCGGTCGGCTATTTAAAGAGCGAAAAGTGGCTGACAGGGCGGCCGAGCACCGCTCGCATTGGGGCCTCGGCAGTCAAAGCCCCTTCCCAGCTCCCCCAATCCCCTGCAGCCTTACCACGCCGCCCGGCAACGCTGGTGGGCGGGGCTGTGCACCTGTGAGGGAACGCGGCGGTGGGGCTGGCAGCGGTGTCCAGAGCCCCTCCCCCACGTCACCCCTCCTCCACAGTCTCAGCACGCTGCTTGGGCGGGGCGGAGCCAGACATCTGCTCTAAGCCGAGCGGCACGGTAAGGGGGCCGGGGAGTTGGAGAAGGGGGGCAGTCAGGGGACAGGGAGCGGGGGCGGGGGGTTGGATGGGTCAGGGGTTCTGGGGGGGCTGTCAGGGGGGCAGGAGTGTGGAGAGGGGTCGAGGCAGGCAGGGAG